AGGCCCCGATTGGAATGCTGTATTTTTGCTACCCCGGTAACATTTTACACCTGTATATTACCCACCTCCAACAAATTCCTGGTGTAAATAATTTCCGGTTGTAACATGCGCTTGGCTCCCAGGTTGTAATGCCACCGTATTCAAGCACACAAGCATCATCACGTCCAACCTCCAACGCCATCGACAAAGCCAGGGCCCGTGCGACCAAGTTACCGCTCTACCTGCTGCTCATCCCCCTCCTGGTCATCGTCTCACTCCTCTGCCTCAACCGCCGGGCCGCCGGCCATCAATCTGTCCCCGGTCGCCGTGGGCGCTCCTGGTGCTCGGCAACCTCACCACCTCGCCATGCGCGATCTATCGCGTTGCCACAGCCCGGTCATCATGCTCTGCCTCGATAGGAACTGCACCGTCCAGCTGCTCCAGGCCATGGCGATGTCCTCGTTGGAGGGCACGGCTCTCCAGTTTATCCGGCAAGATCCAACCCATCTCCTCCGTGTTCATCGAGGTGGGCGTTCCGGCGGTCCGTCGCTCGCCGCCTCTGCCGGCAGCCCGCTCAATCGCTAGCGGGACTGGGTCCTCGGCCGGCTACTCTCCGAGAAGCTCCGGATGTCTCCGCGGCAGCTTCTCCCGGCGTGGTCGCGGTCGACAGCGCCCCTCGTCTCTTTCACGGTCACGGTCACTGGCACGGGCGCCGGCGGCGACACCTGGCCCCGTCGCAGCCTTTGCCGCTGGTGCCTCACCCCTTTCTTGCTCCGGCGGCGCGTGCCCACCTCCACGATTTGGAGAGAGAGAGAGAGAATGCGGAGGCAGAAAACGTCGGGCCCAGGTCTGTATCCAAAACCGGTGTAATACAAGTGTATTTGACAAAACCGGTGTAAAAAATACCACCCAAAACCGACGAACCAACCGCATAACTCAACACGGCTCGTTTTGTTTTACACTTGCATATTTTACCGGTGTAAATCGCTCCAAAACGACGAACCAAGCAGGGCCTTAGGGTTGCCTCCACTGGAGCCGGCCCTTTTATACCCCGGCGAGTGAAATGACCAAAATACCCCGGTGGAGGCATGATATTTACATTTTGCTGCCATTACTATTCATTCCAGCAGTGTCAGCTCCAGATGCGACGCCCAGGCTTCTCCAGATCTCGATAGGACGGCCAAAAACACATCAAGCGGCCCGATCCAACGGCCAGGAAGCCCAAATCGCTGAGGAGGCGGAAGGAGAGCTTCTATTCTTATTTCTGGATGCGTGCGATTGGTTTTGGTTTTTTTTCGTTGGTTAATTTTCGTATATTTTTTTCGTCCGCTCTTTTTGGGTGCGACGGGAGGTCAGCCACTGGTCTGTGGGGGGATCGCTACAAGGTTTTTTTTGGTTCGACGCGGCTCACTGTGAGGTGGGAGGAGGTATGAAAAAAAATCAAAGAAAGATGGGACGAAAATTAACCGATGAACGGAGACTACGAACTAAGATATTACAAGTAGAGATACCAGTGATAGCTGCACAATGGGTAGTCATTAATATGGCATACAGAGCCCCTTAGGGGCTCAAATTACCAATGACGGGGCCAAACTTAGCCTGCTCGTGTTACTGATAAGGCAGGCCAAAAATGACCCACCTAGAGCCCATAGCCACCTATGCCTATAAAACATCCATCCAGCCATCCTTGACTCTAAACCCCACCACTCACTGATCTCCAATGTCGCTGCTATCACGGAACCATACAAGCCCAGGATCCAGAAAGTTAGATGCCTTTACCAGGCCAAGTTAGCACACTCGCCTAACCCGTAAACCGGGATGACACAATAAAGCCATATGAATAGGCCAAGTTAGGGTCTTCCCATACATGGCAGATTTGGATGCCCTTACGGAGTTTGGTTCACTCGCACTATGACTTGGTCAAGCTGATGAAGTAGATTATTATTCAAATTCATTTCTATTATCCTGGTTCCGTTATGTTACACATTCTTTCCCAATCCAAACCATAGTAAGTATTCACGTACCATTAAGGAGAAAACATTTCTTGATCATGAGAGTATAATATTCATGTCATTTTCCATGCAAAATAGTGGGCATTTTAATTTTCTTATCAAAATAGTGGGCATTTTAATTTAGTGTCCTTTTATTTTATTCTATTTCATTTTATTTTCATTTTCCCTTTTATGTCCTTTTTATTGTTTTCAATTTCATTTTCTATTTGTGTACTCTTCTTCAATGAAGTACCTTTTAAACATTTTTTTTCAAAAATACACAAATAGTTTTATAAAAAAACTTGAACACATTTTCAGAATAATTTATTTTATTTTCAAATGCTTTCACATTTTCAAGAATTGAAATAACATTTTAAAAATGCACAGACCATTTTAAATATGTGTGAACACATTATCAAAGTACATGAATAATGTTTTAATGTCGTAACTTTTAAAATTACACGAATATTATAAAAAAATATAGGAACACTTTATTATTAATATGGACATTTTTATGATAAGCAAACACTTTCAGTTACGTGAAAATGTTCTAAAAACACAACACTTTTAATCCAAATCGTTTAATATGTAAGGAAAAATATAACATATTTAAATGTGCATAAATATTTATTTATTATATGTTGGAATATTTTTTATTACACAAACATTTTAGTTTTTTGTTATAGTATATTTAAGAAACTGGAAATATGTGCATATATTGAATGAGGCGCACCCATTATGGCCCATTTCGTGGGTAACTGCCTAAAAACACAGCGTATAACAGCGCCCAAATTTTCTACTTCCTCCATAAACTAATATAAAAGCGTTTAGATCACTAAAGTAGTGATCTAAACGCTTTTATATTAGTTTACAGAGGGAGTATCTCTCATTCACTTACAGTCCTTGATAACTTGGCCCCGAAAATTGACCTCGAGGAGAAAAGCCCACACTTTATAAGCCTACCCTTTAATTTTTTTTACTTTATATGCGTTCTTTAGATTACCTCACCGCTTATAGAGACCACCTACTAGAAGCCTTTAGCGGGGAGCGACTTATTAACGAGCGCTCCTTCGGGAGCCTCGCAACGATCAGCGTCACTTGGCGCACTTTCAGCAATTCGCCACGTGCCATGCTCTGGGCGCTCCTTTCGGATTTTGTTTTTTTATTTTTCTACACACGTTTTTGGCTTTTTAAACGGTTTTTTTTGGTTTTTTTTACATTTTGGTTTTTCACCAGTCTTCCCTAGCGTTTCGACCAAAAAAAATTTCAAACAATTTTTTTTCGCAAAAAAACGTATTTTTTCACGAGAATCACGGTTTTGTTTTCGCGAGAGGCACTACGAAAAAAACACGTTTCCTATTTTTTCTTTCACGAGAGGCATGATTTTGATTCCGCGAGAGGTGGCCGTGCCTCTTGGAAAAGAAAAAAAAAACACGTTTTCTGTTTTTTTTCTCTTTCGTGAGAAGCACGGTTTTGCTTTCGCGAGAGGCACGGTTGTGCTTTCGCGAGAGTCACGGTCGTGCCTCCAGGGAAACGGGAAAACATATTTTCTGTTTTTTTTCCTTCGCAAGAGGCACGGTTGTGATTTCGTCAGAGGCATGGCCGTGCCTCTTTCGAAAAGGGAAAAAAACCGTGCTCACGGTTCGGTTTTTTCGTCCGTTTTTTTTTTGAAAAAAAAATCCGTCAAAACCTATCAACATGGGATCTAGTTTTGAAGATCTCGATGCGTGGAATCCAACGGCGAAAGCGGTTCGAGATTTGAACGCACGGTTTAAAAGATAAAAAGTTTTGAATAAATGAATCTACGAAAAAAATGAAAATT